TCTCCACCTGTGAGCTGCCTCCTTTCTTCCACCTCCTGGGCACTTTGCGTTTTGGTACTTTGGCTTGCTCTGCTTGTTAAATGCAGTTTGTGTCTACCACGGAGTTGTAGTAGAAACCACGTCTCTTGTCCCTCTCAGCATTCTCAGCAAGTTGCTTAGTGCTCTGCCTGGGATGGGTTCTCAGGAAGTCAGCGCTGGATGAATTTGTCGTAGGCTCTTTGCTTCTCAGGACAGAATTGGCCTCCGGGGGCCCTCTCATCTGGGCCTCTGTCATGTTGGATTCCACACTGTGACATCCCAGATAGATGGTCTTCTACGAGCAAGAAGATGCCCACCTCCTGAGAAGACCCACTCCATTGTTGGCCAGTTCTGATGGTTAGGGAAGTCCTTCTAATCGACCTGAAATCCCCCTGCTGATTTCTGCCCAGTGAAGACTTCTGTCTTCTGGGGCTTTAGAGAAAAACAGGAGAGGAAATAAAAAGACAGCCCTGCTTCCTCTTCCGCAAGGCAGCCTTGTAGATTTTCAAGGATAATGAATCCATTTCCCCTTTTCGATCTTCCAGGGTTGAGGTGTTGAGGAAGCACTACTTACACTTTGAGTAACAGTCAGATTAGACTTTGGTTATTTTTTGAAGGCCTTTTATGTGCATGTCCGGGTGCTAGGGCCGTATTCTTCCGGTCCCCTCAGAGACATAACCCACCTGTGTCTTTCTCTACGGAGAGGAAGGCAGGGGCTCCTCTTACCCAAGGTGCTCTGTTTTGGAGGTAGTGGAAAAGGTTAGCAATTCTTACTTCAGAGGCCCCAGATAAGTCTCCTGGGCAGGCGCTGTGTGAGGGCTGGTTTTCTGTTTGCCTGCACCTCCCGGATGAGTCGAAGCCAATGAGACGAACCAGGGAGGAGGAGAAGCTCCCATTCACAGGCGCCTCCTGAGGCCAAGACGTGGCCTTGTAGGCACTCTGTGCACACAGGGCTTTCTTCTGCTTTCCTTCCCTCTCCCCCTTCCTGATGCCCCCACCCAGACCACTTTCTACTGTTCTTTCAATCCACGAGGCAGCGTGGTGTGACAGAGCCAGGCAGGCCCAGGTTTCAGCACTGGTGCTGCCACTTAGAAGCTCTGAGACCATGGGCAGATAAGTAACTTGCTCTTTGAGCCATTGTTTTCCCGTCTCCAAATAACCACCTCGACATTGTACAATTAAGTGAGAAATGCGTGGTGAGCTCCAGCCCGGTCCTTGCTACGCAGATGCATAAACACTAGCTTCCTGCGCCCCTTTCTCCTTCCCCTGACCTTCTTTCACTACCAATTTTGAGAGATTTAAAGGCAAAATACTCTGTGGCCCCCTTGGGGAGAATGAGCTGACTGTGGATATAGTAGCCAAAGCTAATCTTGGGTGGGTATTTGGGAGCAAACTGTCAGTTTCCTGTGAGCTCCTGGTGAGATCAAAGTGGTTAAAGGGACTTCTCAAGTAGGAGAGGCTGAGAAGGTTGTAAATGGCAGTTAGTGGCTGCTCTGCCTACTGTCTGTCGTGCACATTTCTGGGCTGTTGAGCACTGCTGCCTGCTGCCCGCAGGGAACAAAGCCAGTAGACTTGTATGTGGCAACCCTTCAACTGAAAGGCTTTTCTAGGGGACCCCTCTTGACCCCTGAACTGTTGAGTTGGCTCTTTTGGGGTGCCACATACCTGCCACTGCTGCTCCCTACTTTTCTCCATCACTACAGTCTCGGTCAGCCACACTCAACATTCAAGAAAAAAATCATTTCTGGGCTGCTAACTTTCCAGCAGTCATGCCCACACCCTGTTGATAGGCCAAGAAACTTCCTGCACAGAAACTTGAAGTGCGTAAGTGAGCTGTAGTTTTACAGCAGTTGATTAGAGTTAAGAACCAAGAGAATAATTGCTGAAGCCTATAATCATCCCAGTGAAAGGAGGAGGGGAGAACAGAGGCGTCATGGGGCTGGGGGTCCCATGGGGAAGCCCATCCCTGTCTTTCAGCAGACATGTCAGTGCTTTTTATGTGCTGGGGGCTGGGGATACCCTGACATGATGCTTACAGACTGGGGACAGAGACAGAACACAAGGTGACACAGCCCAGAGGAGAAAGACGCTGGTGGGCATAGGCAGGAGGCTTCCTGGAGGAAATGGCATTCCAGCTGGACTGTGGTTCAGGGCGGGCAGGGCTCCGGAATTACTCTCACCTGAGCCAGAAAATCCTGTGAAGCCGTGTCCAAGTTTAACTGCCCCAAGACAAAGTAATGCAAAGAGAGTGGACATTTCCCCATCAGCCCCAGTGAATGTTTTAAACTAAGTAATGACCCAGTCTTGCCTTGAACAGAAGAAAACACCTTCATTCATGGACAACTCTTTTCCTGTGTTTTCTTTAAGTCATAACTGACATTCTTATCTGTGGAATGGGTCCAACAGTGGGATTGCTGAAAAACTGTAGTGTCTTATTTGCATCCTGTTCTGACAAGTGTCCTGTCTTGTGTGGTCACTGCGCTAGGGCCATTCCAGGCTAGAATCCCATCTTTAAGCAGATTTTTAATCTGAGTGTTTCAAACTTAGTGGGCTGTGGCGAGTGCACTATCTGACCACTGCCCCTGTGCTGTAGTTTGTAGCTGGTGAGAGCAAAGGGGTCACGACAGCCCCCACCCCCATCCTACGAGGCATTCTCCTCTGTTCCCGGAGCTGAGCCCTCGCACTCGGGTGTTTATTTTCACACGTAGTCACACCCTGGTGGCACTGGCCTGCTTGTTTTTACACTTCTCTCCTGCTGTGGAAAGCCCTGTCTGAGATTCTAGGTTGTGGATTCTGTCCTCCCCACCCAACTGAGTGTTAAATAGTTTCTGAGTGAGCATTCAGAGTGCCTGGATGTTACCGTGATTTGTAAAACTCTGTGTTTTCATCTCTCTTGGTGACCAATAGAGAAAAAAATCGAGTTGGGAACTGAGCTGCCTCAGTAAACAGCTGACATAACAGAAGCAGCAATGATCCCCCATTAAATGTCTTTCAGCCAATAGGGGCTCCTGGGTAATTGACTTTCCAGCAGGAATTACTGGCTCAAATGAAATCACTGGGCATTAGGGTGACCTGCTACAGCCTTTGAAAGGGGACTGTAACTCTGTCTGGTTTTGCTGACCTGACAGGCATAATTCATCTTGATTATTCATTGTGCTAGTTGCCACCAGATGACACCAGATTTCTGTTGACTGTAATTACAACATGGGGATGGGTTTTAGCTTTTTTTTTTTTTTAAGATAGTGTTCCTCCTGCTTGGCTGTTGGCCTCCCTGAGCTGAAGGTGCTGTGGGAAGATTTCTGCAGCATCTGCCTGGGGAGACGATGAGCACACAGATAGCATTTCCTGAGCACTTCCTTACACAAGTCTCTTACTAGATAAGCAGGGAAACAACTTGATGTAGCCTGTTTCATGTCAACTGACAGGGTGCCACTTCTTGGTTATACTTCCGTGTGTGCTAAATCGCTGCTCTCAGAAAGTGGGTCTATATCTCAGAGCCAGCTTTGTGTGGGGGAAGCAACGTGTGGTCCCAAAATATAACTGAATAATACCTCCTGCTTTCAGGCAATCTTTACTAAAAGGGGCAGTGGGAGAGAATGGAATTAGTCCAGGCTTTCATTTTATTGACACAGTTTTATGAGATCCCTGTGCAGTCCAAAGAATGTCCTCCCGAGAAACCTCTGCTCCCTAACCCCAGATGTTCCTCCCCAGCCACTTACACACCCCAGCCAGCTGGGAGGCACATGCATGTGCTCGTGCATGTGGGTGCGCCTGTGGTCCTGGGGGAGAAATGAGAGAGTGATCGGCTCAGTGTGTCCAGTCCATCCACTGGGTCCTCCCCTGACCGGTGGGGCAGGGTGAACGGGTGACGTCTGCTCTGGCATGTCATCTTCCCCACTAGCAGAGGGCCTTGTGGGCTGTCCTGTATGACACATGTATCTGTATGTTTTTGGAAGAGGTGCTTCACTGGTTCACATAACCAGTTCATGCCTTTTCACAATGATTATAGTTCATCAAGCATTCACTGGGGCCTGGTAAGTATCAGGCAGTGTGCTTGCACTGGAGGTACAGAGATGAATGATACACTTGGCTCTCGAGGGGCTTACAGTACATGGGGATGACAGATAATTCTATGAGATTCTAAGCTTGAAATGTACGGAGACTGCTTCCAGAGTACTTATGCAGCCAGGTGTGAAGGGAAGGCTTCCCGCAGAAGATGGTGCCTGATGTGAGGAGTAAGAGTTACCCGACTGAATGAAGGTCGGAAGTAGATTTCAAGAACATAAAACAGAAGCATATTTGCACTTCCTCCAGTTCAGCTAAATGGTGTTAGTTTAACCTAATCAATTAAATTAGATTTTTATTATTTCTCTAATGAAAAGGAACTCCACCCTAGTGGCAGAGTCTCTGTACCTTGGGAATAATCTCAGGCCCTGGGGCCCTTGTATCACTAGGGAGTTCTGATCACTAGAGGTGGAGCTTCTAGTGGTGAGGCTTGGCTGGGACAGCACAAGATCTTTGAGGTGTTTTTCCTGCTCCCTCTATCTTCCACTTAGAATGCCGTGTGGGAAGCCAGGCGAGGTATCTTCACAACATACCGTATAATATACAACAAACACACCATAAAACATACGAACATATGCCATACAGAATCTGAAGAAAGATGGTACATCTCAGAGTGATGGCTTCCAGAAGATCAGCTAGGGATGAGCAGTTCTCAGAAAACTGGGCCTTTGTGTCCTCCTCCTCCTCCAGGATCAGGTATAAGTACCACCCACCCACCTCCAGCAGACAGAGATGATTCTTCCACCTGACTCGCTCTGGTTCTGGAACCATAATTGAAAGCATAAAAGCAAGATGTGGCAGAGGGAGCCAGGAGAGCATGGTTGCTAAGGATCTTCATCTGCACCCTGAATGACTGCCTTGCCTGCTTTCACTCTGGTCCTACTCTCTTCTGAACTCTGTGCTTTGTTCCCCTTTAGAATGGTGGTTTGGCCTGGAGTGATGATGCGGATGGAGGCCGGGGAAGAGAGATCTCTCGAGATTTTGCCAAGGTCTGTAATGTTCCCTTTGTGATAATGAAAGGGGCAGTTCTGCAGTGGGTTGTTGTATCTGATCCCCAAGGAATAAGGAGAGGAGTGGCCTATGAGACTCATTTGTAGTCATTCCAATGGCTGTGTATCTCTGGTATAATAAGACTTCCTGCATAAGACGGAATTTTTCACTGTGCTTTTTTTTCCCCTGGGGGGATCGGGATTGCAGCTATATGAACTGGACGGTGATCCGGAAAGGAAAGAGTTCCTGGACGACCTCTTCGTCTTTATGCAGAAGAGGGGTGAGTGTGCAGTCTAGTCATCATTTCAATTCAGTGAATGTTTATTGAGTGCCTACTGTGTGCCGACCACTGTTAGCCATCTTCCCTGCAGAGTACCAGCATCTTATCCCAGGAGGACAAGAGCCTCCTGGTCCGGGACTTAGCCAAGTAACTGACAACCAGATTGAAGAGGGCGGAGAGGGCCTGGGTAGAAAATGAATGGAGTGATCATCCAGATTTGGTCCTGCTTTATTTTTGTCACTCTTCTTCTGATTCATTGCTCTCTGGAGTCATTTCAAATTCAAATCTACTTTTTTCTTAGCCTTATAGCAGCCCTGGACATCACCTAAACTAGTATGTGGGGCTTCCTGTTGGTGCACCCAGCCTTATAAAGGCTTAGAATGAAAGAATAGAAGACCTCAGGATTTGTTGGGAGGGTCTGAAACGATCCATGGAAAGGAAAGGCTAACTCTCTTTTTCTTATCCATTGGCTCTTTGATTTTGGCATCTGCTGGCTTGGTTGGGGTGCTCTGCAGTGTAAATGTAGGGTACACGGACTCCTGCTTTACAATGCACTTTCTCACTTCTCTGTCCCTCTCTCCTTCTTACTCCCCACTCCACCCACCCCCAACCATCTCCACTTTGGACCATGGAGTGTCTTGAGCCCAGTGACTCAACTTTCTGACTCTATGTCCTGTCATAGCAGTGGGTTCACCAACCGGGTCAGCCCTCAGAAAGCACAGCCAGAACCCCAGCCTCTCTAGGAGATGATCCTCAGCAACCTGTGTAGCTCCTCCTCCATCACCCTCAGGACCAGCAGCCTCCCTGGGACCCTGCCTGATCATGCATCCCTTAGATTTTGTGTTAGCTCCTTTATTTGAGACCTGGGAATGAAATCCTCCCTTTTTTCCTAGTCTGAGCTATAATGACAGCCCCCAACAACTAAATATTGAGTTAACTCCTCTCCCTCCCCTCCGCTCCCCACACCGGTCTGATCCATCCCTCCATCCCCCTCCTTCCCCTTCCTTTACCTGCCAGAGCCTTATTGCCTTCTTAGTAGCATGCTTGTTACTGCTGGTTTGCTTACAAAGGCAGTCGAAAGTTTTGAGTCTCAATTTCCCCCATCTCCAAGCCTATCAAAGCAGTCTGAGCAGCTCTAATTAGTTTACTCCTCCAACTGTTATCTGGAGCTGCATGCGTCAGTAAAAAACAAGAATATAATCCTGAAAGATAATGTGACTGGCAGCAACGAAACTCCCTGGTTACCCTGAGAGAGAGAAATCCACTTAATGCTTCGGTCTCCCCTTCCAATTACCTTTTAATTATTTACAAGCTCCGCAAGCCCAGCTGGCGCAGCCCAGGAGCCGATCTCGTCTCAGAGGGCCTGCCCTAGCAATGCGGATTGTAATCCGAGGTGTGGCTCTGCTGCTTCCTTTCTGCTTTATTGCTTTTCTCCTTTCCCAGAAGGATTTTTAAAGGAAAATAGGAGTTATATCCGCCTATCCAAGAGTGAAGGTCAGTAATTGTTTATTTACTACTGTATGTCCCCACTAGACTAGGAGCTCCTTGAGGACAGCCACTTTGTCATTTCTCCATGTCCCCAGTACTAACACGGGGCCAGGCAGGGAGGGGCTCAGGACGCGTTTGCCGAATGAGCAGTCCTGTTGGTTTTCCTGCCTCAGCTGCCTGACACGGAGAGGCGAGCTGCCCTGGAACTGGAGGTCAGCAGTGGGGAGTGTTGTGTGCTAAGTGTCTTGCTGCTCTGCAGCACTGGGGCCCTCCAGGCTGCCATCCAGTCTGTTCCGGGGTGAACCCAGAGCAGGAGTAAGTGACTCTCTTTGTTCATGTCAGTTTATGATTATTCAGGCCTTGGATCCATCTTTTTTCTGCCTCCAGCACTTATGTTAGGTATTTCACTATTTGCTGGCATCGCCAAACAGAAGGGCAACAGTCAAGTCAGTTTTGCTCCTTGCTAATTGCTCTAACAGGCTTCTCAGCCTCAGCATATTGACTTTTGGGACTGGATAGTCCTTTGTTGGAGTGGGGGTGCGCCCCCCTGTCTTAACAACCAAAAATGTCTTCAGATATTATGAATGTTTCCTGGGGGACAAAATTGCCCCCCATTGAGAACCACTGCCACAGAAGGATGGGAAAGATGAAAATCAAAACCTTCCTCTGCGGAGAAACTCTTCAGGAAAATCATCTTACCTCCACTCAGGTAGCAGTGCCTGAGGGCAGCAGGGCCTGTGTCAGATAATAGGGTGAGTGCCCCGTCTGTGGCTGAGTGCCAAAGGACTGGGTGCTGGGGCCCCACCATGGGCCAGAGTGCAGGGAAGGCCTCAGAGGAGCCGTACACACAGCCGAGCACAGTGGAGGTGATGGGAGTTGGGTTGGAAATGCGGTGGCCTGCGTGATGTGCGTGGCCCAGGCACGGCTAGAAGAACCCTTGTCTGTGGCTCGGATGAATCAGCTGGCACCAGACTGTGAAGAGTGGTACTTGGCCAAGCATTAGCACTCCAGTCTATGACATAGCCAGGTTGTTGAAGCTAACACATAGGAGTGTCATCAGAGCCAGGCTTTTTTGTCACTCCCAAATTGAAGTGTCTGGGGCACTGAGGAGCCCGATCCTGTTAGCTAGCTGGGTCCAAGCAGATGCCTCATGTACCCCAGCGGCACGTCAGCGACTCATCTTCCAGAGCTATTATGAAGGATAAGCAGTAGATTTCAAAGGAGCCACTGAAAGTGGCCTGAGTCTGAAAGGCCCGGTGACGCCCACCTGGACCGTGAGTGGTCAGGCAGCTCTGACACAGCAGGCCGCAGCGCAGAGGAAGTGGGCCAGGCTCCAGGGGAGGCAGCGCGCAGCAGGCGGCCCCGAGTGACCGCAGCTGCAGGTGATAAAACGGCTGTCTGGTGGGAGAGGGGCCAGGCCTAACTGCTTTGTGCTGGGTCTCTCTGGCTGTTAACATGTTTAGGTGAATTGACTGCAGCAGATGGGCCTTTCAGCTCCGGCACCTTGATTTCTAGGCCAGACCGGGTGACTTGCACCCTCGTGACCCCTCCCCCACCAGCAGAGCAACGCCCCCCAGAAGGCGCCTGAGCAGAGGCCAGGCAGTGCCCTGTCTGGCTACCCGTGTCCTGCCTGCCTTGGAAATGGCCACTGCAGCCTGTCAGGAGGCATGCAGAGGGGGAAAGAGCTCTGGACGGAGGAGGGTGAAGCCAGGGCTAACATCTCCCCCTTCTCCACAATCCTGAGCAAATCCTTCCTCTTCTGGGGACTGCAGTTTCCTTATCTGTAAAATGAGAGGGTTCAGTTAGGTTAGAGTCAATCTGGAAGGTTCTTCCAAGTTCTCTGTTCTGTATTACGTGTCCACCATTGTGTCTGTTGAGCTACTGACAGATAATGAGCCTCCCTTGACCAAATATAGAAGGAAAGGCCCTTGAGCAATTTTCTATCAAAATAGTTGTATAAAAACTACACCAAGGACCCCCCAAAACCAAATGCTTCTCTCCTTTCCTTGATGTAGTTCCTCTTTTGCTGGCTGAAGCCAAATTGAATTAAACAAGTTGCCTTTGATGTGCTTTCTCCCCAAATGTTTCTCTAGGAAAGATGGGTTAGATTTCAGGGCTGTGAGACCCTTTCTGCTCACTTTTTGCCACGTGCACTCATGTGTGTGGGTGTGTATATAATACACACATTTATTTCCAAAAATAAATCCAAACAGTTGTAAATAAAATTCTCTGGCTAATTTAACTCACTGTGAGTGGTTTCTGAGGTATCTTTCTCTGGTAGATTTTCCAGGGGGAGAGGTTGGGGTGGGGAAATCTCCTAAGGGAAGGCTTATAAACCATTCCATTCTTCCTTCATCAGGGAGGAAGAGAGCTTGTTTTCTTGTTCCCCAGGCGGTGAAACAGAAGTGTGGTTTCATCAAAGAGAAGGAAGATGATTTTGCTGTTAATTTTATTATTATTATCCTGTGTACTTTATAGAACCTTTCAGCCCATTATCTGATCTGCTGCTCCCCAAGGCTCCAGCACTGTGGGGTAGAGAGGGCAAAGGTTATCACGTTAGCGGGGAAGAATCTGCCTCCAGGTTGAGTGGCTCACCGGAGGCCTCTGGCAGAGCTGATTTAGCACTTGGTCTCCTAAGCCCTGGGCCAGGGCTCTTTCCCTCCCCTGCACTGGCTGCCCTTGAGAGGCTTGGCTGCATCGCTTCCCGTCGGGGAGCGGACAAGCCTCGTCTCTCCTCCAGCCTTCTTGAGTCCCACGGCGTGTGTGGCCCACCTCCACAGGCCAGTGTCCTGTAGGGTCTTGACAGCTCTAGCTGAGTAACATGGGGTAGAACCCTTCATGCAGGAAGTCTTCGTCTCAGGGAACGGCAGATGGGACAGTTCACAGAGGCTGCCATCTGTCGAGGCAAGATGGGGTGGGAGTGGGGACACAGGAGACAGAAGCCCTCACAGCAGCATCTTAGTAGCGCGCACCCAGAGCGCCCACGAGCAAGGCTGTCCCCTCCAGCCCCTGCCCCAGCTCTGCACACTAGGCTAAGGACCTGCTTGGTGCCTTGAAGACAAGTTTGTCAAGACCTTGCTGGAGAACTCCCCTCCCTCCCCCACTGGTTCTGTTCAAGGCTGAGAACTGACCTTGGTTTTCCCAAATGGATTGTTGGATCTGTTTTTGATGTGTATATACAAAGAATTTACTGTGGGAAAAAGGCTTGGTCTGCCTCAAAGTGCAGTTTGAGTGTTTTTCCTTCTGTTGTGTGCTTATCTATCCATCTCAGGCAAGGAAATGTTCCTGACATATATTGCTTTGCCTTTTGGTGGAGGGTGTTTCTTGTATATTATTTGTATCTGTACCTTGGACACTCTTCCTGATAAACTGAAATATGTTTGTCAGATAAAATAGGCTTTGGGGTTTCATTTTCTAACTTTATCCCCAAATGAAAGTCCAAAATGCAAATCTTTGTCTTGGGATTATCCCTTTGTTTTTGGCTAGATCTTTTTTTCTCCCCAGGTGATCTA